GAAGAAGAAGAAGAAGAAGAAGAAGAAGAAGAAGAAGAAGAAGAAGAAGAAGAAGAAGAAGAAGAAGAAGAAGAAGAAGAAGAAGAAGAAGAAGAGGCGATCAACCAACCCATATCAAGAATCAAGACACTCGGCGTAAGACAAGGATGGCCGATAGACTCCTCACGTCGAGATCAATGGGCCACAGCACGGCCGTACTGATATCGTGGTACGTTTTGTACCTACCTAGATACTCCGTACGTAGTACGTACGAGGCACTGTAGTTGTAACACGCTCGTCGTATCCATAACCAGTCGCAACAAGTCTAGAAATTCATCGACATGTTTTAAAACCGTTGGAAAGCGATTCTCTGTACGTGTGCGTGAACATATATACGTATTTTAATCTAGGCAATTCTACAGGGTATATTTATCTCGGGGAGGCGGCGCTCTCCCTTAGTCCGCATCCAACCTGGCGACCGGCGGGGTGTCATCGACCTGGATGCCTCCTCTCTTCCTCTCGTTGCTGTCGTGGAACGGCAGCCTCCAGCCGCCTTCGTCGGCGGGGGTGCTCAGCCAGAGCCTCATCAGGTGTCTCCTCGGCATGCCGCTCTCGGGCGGGTAGTCCCTGTACTCGGTGCGGGCGTGCAGGACGTGGGAGTTGGTCACGAACTGGATGTCGCCCACCTCCAGGACCATGTGCAGCTTGACGCGGTTGCACACGGCCTCGAGCGTCTCGAGGGCGTGCACCTGCTCGGGGCTCAGGGGCGGGATGACGCCCCGGTCGCTGAACCGCGTCAGGCTGCGCACGTAGTACGGGTCCCATTTGCAGTACAGCCTCTGCTCCGGCCCGGGTCGTCCGGCGGCGGCGGCGGGCCCGTCGTCCTCGGCCGGCGTCTCGAGGTACATGACGCTCGTGCGGATGTAGGGCTCCTCGCCCTCGCTGACCTCGCCCTTGCGGTCAAAGTACCACACGGGCCTGGTCAGCAGCTCCGCCACGTCCGGGTGCTCGGCCTGCAGGATGTTCCAGACGCGGTGGACGCAGGCGACGTCGCTCTCGCCGCCGTACTCGGCGCGGGCGAGGCACAGGAGGCCCACGACGTCCGAGTCGTCGGCGTGGAAGAACTGCCGCGCGTTGGTCCGGTAGATGCGCACCTTGTCGATCTGCGTGCTGTCCTCGCCCAGGTCCTTGACGTGGCCCAGGATGTGGCCCCGCCCGTTCTGCGACACCGGGTAGCCGATGTACGTGCCCAGTCCGAAATACGCGACCGCCGACTTGTGGTTGCCCCATTCGCGCACGGGGAAGCCCTTGTACAGAATGAACCCTTTGCCGTTGAGGATCTCGTTGCGCACCGCCGACAGGCTGGGCGCCATCGTCGGCAGCGGGAAGTTGGACGGGTTGATCCCCGTCAGGGGGAGGTTCTGCGCGAGGAATGCGTCGGCCGCCGACGAGAGCTCGGCGATCTCGGCCGGGGAGAAGATGTGTGTCCATTGTTCCGGGTGCGACGCGTACTCTTCCGCAGACCAGACGGTCGGTCCGCTGATTTCCTTCGGAAACGCAGAGTACGGGTAGAGCTTGTCGTAGAGAGGAGGGTGTTGGCCCGAGGTCTTGAAGCCGTCCGGGAACACAGATCGATCGACTTCCCGTGCCTGGGAAGGCTGCGAACGAGGCTTCACTGAAGCGGGAGTCGGCAGCGCCGCGGACGAGTCGACGGCTGTAGGCGCCATCGTCTTTGTTGATATCAACGAGATGAGTCTAACTTTGTTGATGTGTTCCAAACGAGATCGAAAAGGTCCCTGGTGTCTTGAAGTACTGTAGCCGAGACAGAAGGAAATCAAAAATTCACATCGAAAAATCAATACAACTTAGCCTTCGTCAGTCTTATACATCTTGGGAAACTTCTGACCCTGTGAGGGGATCTCCGGCATAGGCGGTGGTATGAGGAATGGTGTCCAAGGGCCACGAAGCAGCCGGCATTGCGAGGGGTTGAAGATCGTCCAATTGTGTGGAGATATTGCGTGCTTGCGAGAGACTGTCACCACGCATCAGTGGTGTGGAACGTTGTTTTGGAAATGTCCGCGGAAAGCATGAAGAGACGGACGGAAGAGCTTCCGGGGCGACTTTGACTTTTGCACAACCTGAGGAATTGACATAATTTGCACAGGGTCACAGCTTTACTGGCAGTCTGGACGTTGGATGTTCTGGATTTCTCTGCTTGGATTCACGTAATACCACACGACGACCTGACTCCAGACACTCTGCAACGACCATCTCCAGCCTGGGTCTTCGAAGACCACCCACTGCTCTCCTTCATCTTTCCACTCGAGCCGTTACATAACATTGCAGCCGCAGCCATGATCTGCTGATGGCCGCTTCGACATCCTGGCCATCCCACAGGAAGTATATCCTTGACCACCGTAGCCACCACCCGAGTAATGGCCAGGCAATGGATTGCCATACCCATCAGTCAACGTGTACCCGTTTCCCAGCGTCCCACGATCTTTCGCATTGTTCACGATTATCCTCGTCGTACTCGGATTGTAATCTGCCTTCTTGTCGCATTCCGGGCAGGTGTGGGCGGCGGCCGAAATATATCTTGATCGAAACAATCCTGGCCTCGCCGGCTCGAAGCGATGAAGATGCCCGGCCTCGAAGCCGGCGCCCTTGTTGCATTCCTTGACTATGGTGACCCATTTGTGGTGGCAGGTTCGCGACTTGATGAGTTCGGCGGTGCACATTGTCCAGGTCTCGCAGGGTCGAGATGGTCGCTGTAGTTAAGGGTGTATCCTTTCGTCTCTGGCAGGGGATTCGTAGTTTATGCGGTCTCAGTCGAGAGGCCTGAGGATGTAAAAATAGTCTGCATGGAGCAAGAGACTTGTCAAGGCATTTCGGACAAGGTGTCGGTGTCTGGAAGGAGAGTTTGTGCCAGTGCAAGTGAAGTTCCTTTGAGCGACTCCTGCACCATCTGCGCCTGGACAATTTCGTGGCCTCTAGAGGGGCCTCCCAAGGCCGCCTCAGGTATAATCGACCGGCCACAAAAGAGAAGACACCAACTATGAAAGCAACGTCTTTGCATGGGAAAGCTACTACTTCTCCTTCGAAGTGGCATCAGCGATAGCCTCGAGTATGGGGCCGTCTTCTTCTTCGTCCACACTGTCTCTTCCTCTCTTTTGTATGGCCTGCATGAGTTCATACAGCTGGCCAATCTGTTGGTCGCTCATTTTGTCCATTATACCTGGGTCAATCCTTTGCTCTTGCCAGTCCTCCCCTTCCAGCATCTGACCGTAGTTCTGCCACTCGGTGAGAAATCCCACAATATGTAGTGGATTCTCGATGTCTCGATGCCGGCGGAATTCGGCTTTTAGATAGGTGTCTCCAAAGATACGCTCTTCAGGTCCCAATTTCTTACGATGTATCCGTAGCAGTCTCCGGTACAAAGGAATAGGAGGAAGGAGAGCAAGTGCGGAAGCTCTTTGGCCCGGACGAAACGCCTGTGTCGCGGGTGCCGCGAGAAATCGACTGGTGGCGCGCATGGCTGATATCGCTCGGCTCTGGGAGTTGCTTACCAAAAGTCGTAGACCTCTAAGAGCATCTACACGGCTCAAACCTACAGCTCGTATGATGTTTACAAGCCATGAAATCATCAACGGACGACTTTTAGGACAAGCTTCCGATATTTATCCGATCTCATAGAACATGACAGTTAGGTGACCTAGCCATCCATACCAAAGGCAAGGTAGCATTACATTTTCTATTTGGAAATATGAAGTGTCAGTCTGGAAATCTACCACAATCTTTGTGGTGTCAGCAAGTACCAGCATCCGCCGCTAGAGTCCTGCGCCCGCACATACAGCATACCCGCAGGATTGTTTGACCTCTCCATCAAAGCATCATCTTCCTCAATCATGCATCATGATAAATTGAGGCTCGGACGCCTAACCCAGGTCTAGTCTTCAAAGAACAATAAAATAAAAACAACCGAAATCGATGGGGTATCCGCTGTCGTGCGTCTCTCATAACATGCAAATTTTCATAATGTTACAAGAACGTGAATAAAGGTCGTAAGGGTCATATGGTACATAGGATAGCGGCAAACTGCTTTGGTGTCGTGACACAGCCATCAACCGCTGCAATCCATGTCTGAGTCGTCCGAATCGTTAATAAGCTCGCTGTCCTCATCGGAGAATGGGCCATAGTCGTTGCGAAGTTCTTCTGGGTCTCCGAAGTCGTCATGTTCGAGTGGATGCAGGTCCTCGTCGTCGTCGCCGTCTCCATCGTCCTCGTTCGAGCCGTAGCGACTAGTGACATAGACATCAAGGGAGTCGGACATAGTCATCTCCACGAAGCTATCCACATAGGCTTCCGAATCGATGAAGTGCATTGGATACATTTGTTCAGAGTCCTCCAAGATACCTTGAGCAGAGAAATAGGCAAGGTTCAATTCTTTCCGCATCCGACGAGTCGCTTCAATCCAAGAGCCCTGCTCTAGAGTAACAAAGCCGACCTTGAAGGTGTGGATGGATGGTTGACGCTTCAACATGGCCAGTAGGTTGTCCGAAGTGGTGGACAAGCAATCAAGGTCCAGGTAGTGCAGTTTGGGCCAAGAATTGTCTCCAAGAACGGTCTTCAGGTCTGCACATGGGCCATGATAACCGTAATCCTCAAAGTTGATGGTAAGCTTTTCTAGACCCTTAGCTGCACACAAGGCATCTCGAAGAAGTCCTTTGCGCAAGTCCCCATAGCAGGACTCCGCAGGCATGTCGCCCCAGGCGATGACTTCATCTCGTTCAAGACGAAGACCCAGCTCAATGACTTTGAGGTTACTAAAGGCAGCACAGATCATGTCGCGTGGCATGTAGCCACCGAAGAACTTTGGAGACATGACATGAACTGCAAGTTCGTGGAGATTGGTCAGGGGTCGGTTATGAGGGAAGAGGAGATGTTTGAGCTGCTCCTTTGTGTGTTTGGTGTCAGCCTCAATTGGCATTGCGCAATCAACGGCAAAGGTCTCGAGGAATCTCTCTGACAAGACGTGCTTGCATCTTCCTACGGTATTCAGCTCGATTTTGGTGAGTCGTGGAAAGCGGCGAATGCTAGGTCCGAGAAGCTCGGAGTAGGTGGTGCCTTTGATCAAGTTCTGTTGGTCGTTGAGAACTTGTCGGTAGCGGTCATATTTGTTCTCAATCTCTTTCTGGAACTTGGCCAGGTTGCGTTCGAACAGTCTCTTCTCCCGATCAGTGGCATCTCTTGGAGGTGGCTGCGGCCTCTCATCTCGGTGGTGTTCCAGTTCGTAGTGGGCGGAATAGGAGTGGATGCAGCCAATGTTTGCTAGGATGTTTGCTTCAAAGACCACTGTCTCAACGTTCTTGCGGAAGACTTCATGGGTGGCAAGTGCATTCAGGCGCTGGAGAGAGTCTTGACTGCAATGGAAACGGACTTTGGAGACCAAAGCTTCTGCTCCGATGGAAGCATGGCGTTTGGTAGTCAGTCGGAAGCTTGCCAGGCTCTTGAAGTCTAAAAGCCGACAGACTTTCAGAAGGACCTCGTCTGGACATTGTTCCATTGCTGCAAGCTCTGGCAGCGTCTCCATGACTGTGTGCGGTTGGTGGAAAGGCGGTACAGAGGACTACGAAGTCGTAGGATGCGATCGACGGTGAGAAGCGGGGAAGGACGATAGCGTTGAAGGTCGTGCAGGGCGGTGAGAGCAGATGCACAGAGACAGTGAGGGCAATGGATGCACAGCGACCTTGATGGCTCGCCGGGAGAGCGGGAGTGAAATGAAGGAAAAGTTTTAAGCCATGAAGTGATTGATATTTTGGAGGTGGTTTGATGTGATTTCAACGAGAGAGGAAGGAGGGACACGCAGGTGCTGGTGAACTGAAAGCGTTGCAAAACACCGCACACAAACACCCAGTCGCCTGACTACAGGTGCCGGTACCTATAACTGGGCGTGAAGTCGCAAGGCATTGGGGGGTTCACTGGGCTTCACCAGTTGGGGGGAGCTTCACCATTAATTCACTGTCAAGCACCGAGATTAGCTGCCTCAGTGCTTTGTACAGTATCTCGCTCGTCTCTCTCAAACACAGAGATTACCGAGGGCCTAGGTCCAGCTACTCTTCATACCCATGGTGCCTCGTGTAAGCAACGTCAGGGACCCAGAGTGAGAACAATCGCTGCCCAGTAGAGGGAGGCTCGAGGCTCAAGGCTCAAGGCTCAACAGACCACCCCCGACTCGCCTGTTTTTTCCAGCACATGCAATCACGGCGCGCAGAGAAGTCACCCTCAGGCACGTCCAAGTAGATAGAATGGCCACAGCAGTCACAACGTGGCACACAGGTAGGGAGTACCTACTGTAGATCTATGTACCTGAAGTCCGTACTCATACAAGCATCCCTGCCTCCCGCCTCAGCCCCTCCCTAGGTCGATCTACATGCTCCTGCCAGGCACCATCAACGTCTATCAGAGATAACTATCCTTATCCAAGTCTGTTCTCCATCCTCTCCTCCCGGCCATCTCATTAGTTCATTTCCTGGTGACGCCCCTCGTTTCCTCTGGCGTGGAGCGCGTAAAGTGGTCCTCCCGGATCGCACTATTCCCAGGCGGTGCTTAGCCTCCCTCCAGCTCCCCGGCCAACCTACGGATACAGGGAACGAATAGCCGCCGCAGGCCATTCACATTCTATTTGCGCCTGACTGCGCCAGCCCAACAGCCAACTCTACACTTGCCAGCGTCAACGACAGACAGACCGTGTGACTCAAGTGTGTGTCGAACGTGGTCCTCATCTCAACCGCTTATCGTCCCTCCTCTCCTCAGCCTGCCACCCTCCCATTGTTTCACCCTTCATGTTCAGCTAGCACGCCCTGGCTCGGCTCAGGGCTACCGCCTTGAGCCTCTCTCGCAAGAGACAAGTCTTCCCACAATACAAGCCTTACGAACCCAGTGGCTCGTCGGTGTAGACATAGACCCGAACACATCGCAGGATGGAGTCAAGTTTGGAGGGCGATGAAGGAAGTCAGAAGATGAAACGGGCTGGACATCACACACTTCTGGCCAAACATTTGCAAGGGAAGAAGCCGGAATGGGATGCCATCTCCTCACAGAAGCAACCGCTGCGTCTCCTTGACCTTCCTGTCGACATTCTTCAAGCCATTCTCAGAGAACTCACGCATACTAACGATCTCACCTCACTCGCTCTCACCCACTCTGCGTTGCACGCTCTTGTCATTCCGCACATCTACTCCAGATTTGATATTGTCTGGCCTGATGCGAATGCCACCTTTGAGAACCGCATGGGAGTCGACGCTTTGACATATGGACTGGCAACGCTGGTTATGACCCAGGATGTCTTCGGTGAGGCTCCATACCAACAGCAGCCTTTGTATCAATGTCAACAGTGCGGACACCACAATCACCCCAGTCCTTCCAATCCCAGCGGCCCTCGAAAGATACGACGTGGCAACTACTTTGCTCAATATACCAAGAAATTTAGTCTAGGGAACGGGCCGTCGGATTGGGTTCAGGAGTACCTCATAACCAAAGAAGGCGGCAAAATGCTCGGCACCCTGGTTGCTCTCGCCGTTGGGAGGATGCGAAATCTGGAAGCATTTATCTGGGATATGCCCACTGGTGTTCTCCGAGATGTATGGCTGGCTCTCGCCTCTCTCGGTAACCGTGACGACGGACAAGAATGTCGCCTGGATCGAATATGGGTTCGCTGGCACGACAATCAAGATCAGGGCCCCTTGGCTTCCCCTCCACTACCAGGAGCCGGCCCCGGCGTGCACGTTTCGAACTTACCATCCATCCTAGCAGGCACAGCAAATGCCTTGTTTCAGATTCCTCCTTATCCTCGAGTTGAATTTCCGACCTTTTCAATATTGCCTCCCCTCCGAAGCCTTAGTGTTCTGGACATTGATGAGTTACCGTATGCCGAAGAAATGAGTGTTTTAATCGAGAGGTCACTTGACAAGATGGAAGAACTGCGAGTTGGAATGGCTCCACACGCCCAATACGACATATGGGCTCGGCCCACAGATAATAGGGCTCCTGTCTTGCAGCCTTTGATGTCTTCACCAAGTGATCAGACGCCCAGACCTGGAGGGATTCTGGGAATCCTGGTACATCGATTCTGTGATCCATTTGTTCAAGATCGAAGCAAAGAGTTCACTTCTGGTCATGAAACGCAAGAATACTTGATTCCAGAGGTGGACGAGTCTCAAAACCCAGAATATGGCGAAGAGGGCAAAGATGACTCTGTTGATCAAAGTCAGGCCGAGGATGTGGAACATCTTGGTGCTCTTCTTTTAGCCCAGAACCTCCAGGATGAGGAATTGGAACCTGCAGCAAAAGCAACTACCTGTCCCGGGCAGCTTCATGTTCCAAAACAAAACCACCTTCGAAAAGTGAGCGAGTCTTTCAATGACCCGCACCAGGAGGAACGTTCTTTCCGCAAGCTCCGGTTAAACACATTGGAGCTCGAACGAATCTATCTTTCGATCACAGTCTTGTCCAAAGCTATTGACTGGTCTAGGTTGAGGACTCTTACCCTCTTGGGTTGTAGGAATCACGAGCAAATTTGGAAGGCACTTCGCAAACAGTTTACCCCCACCAGTCGAAGGAGGGTATCCTCGACAGGATTCAGAACATCTGGAAACAGCTCCTCGAAGGTAGCTGACGAAACAGCGTCGTCATCTCTCGAACCCGCTCCCTCGGATTATCCACTTGGACTCAAGAGGCTTCACACCGACACAGTCTCGCCCTCGTTGATCGCATTTATCAAAGACACCCTTGCACCGGATAGCCTTGAGTGGCTTTTCTTGCAAGCAAACCCCACCTACAAGTCTCAAGTGTCAATAGACATGATATACAGGGGGGCGATCCGCAGACATCGCGGAAGTCTAAGGAAACTGCTCATTGACAGCACGTTGCGGACCGAAGATCCAGACCCACCAGACACATGGAGACGATGGGTATTGAATCGTGAATTGATAACTTGCATCACGAGCGGAAAGATGAAGCTTCGAGAGTTGAGTATGTCAATCGATTACAAAGACTGGCACCACTTCCTTCGACGACTGCCAAATGCGACAACACTGCGGTCACTACACATTTCACACATTGCCGAGCATGTCAATGGCACAGTGCACTCCCGTGACGCGGCATTACAAGTTCTCGACATTGTCGCGCTGAGACCAGAACTGGAATTGTGTTATTTGGGAATCCAGACGCACTGTTATGAAATTCTCGAATACGCAAGTACGCGGAAAGGCCCTGTCTTCACCGGTCTGAATGGATCTGGGAGCGGCGGTCACTCTGGTGAAGATCTTGATACTGATCAGGATGCAGGACCCGCCGGCGGGGACGCACATTCAGCGCAGCAAGGTCATCACCATAGTCACCGGTTCTCTCAGGACGATGACGATGATGATGGAGACATGGACGATACGAGTGATTTTGAAGTTGTCTCTGATAGCGATGAAGCAATGACAGATGAAGAGGGCGCGCAAGGGGCGGACTCAAACATGCCCAAGCCAACCTGGCGCTTACGCGAGATTCTCTTCTATGACGACAAAATTTCGATCTTCAAAGCAAGACATGGCAGATTGTAAGGATATTTGGTCTACAACGCAGGAGAACAAGGACTGGTTTGGCACTAATGGGTGGACGAACGAAGACCCAAATCGAATGGACATGCTCGGCTTAGGATAGTACGATATATCTGAGATATTTTGTTCTGATCGCAAGTATTTCCCCGTATGGTGACTAAATGCATAATAGTAGAAGATTGACTAGTTAGTGAGGCTCGTTTTGGGGGATTTCTCTCTCCGTCCATAGTAACTTTGGCTTTGCAAATAACGCAAGCTGAAGATGAAGATGAAACTGAAGCCGAGTCCGTAGTTTTTGGTCGAAGTACCTAACCCAGGTAGGTATCTTCCTCGTAGTGTATGATATCAATACAACCAAGATTCTATATCTATCTGTTGGATATACTTGGCGATTCTGTTTGTCTATTCCTTTGTGCCTCGCCCTCGTCTCGCGTCGTCTTGTCTAAGCGTGTCGAATCGCGCGGTCCGCGTGCAAAGAGGCCATCGGCACGCTGGCACGCTGGCACATTGATAAACTACCAAGTTGGTTGGCACACCGGAACGGGAAATGCAGGTGGAGGCGGTGGATAGTAGTACCACGAGAATCTAGGGTCGAGGGTCGAGGGTCGCGGTAAATTCCAGTCATGAATTCACCACCGCACTACACCGGCGGATGAATACTCGGGAGTCTATAGACCCCATGCGCGCCACGAGACGAGACGAAAAGCCGAGGGTTTTCGTAGCCGCCCGTGCAAGGAAGGAAAAGAGGACATTGGAGAGGCGATAGGGCCCCATCCTACCAACCACTACATGTCAGGGCCGGTGTTTCAGTGGGTTGTTGTTGGTGGGCGATGGAGGGATGGATGGATGGATGATCTGCTTTGCTCCTGAATTGAATCAATCAACATCGGTGGGCGAATTGTGGGTTCTCATTCTCACAGGGGTGATTATGATGACAGTGTGCAGAGTCGCAGAGGTGCAGAGTATCGCGGTGTGGTGTGGTATGGTGCAGTGCCTCGTCAACCTGGAGTCACCGATGGGCCCAAATCAACCGGCGATGTAATAAGAAACCAGAATTACCGTACATAGAGAAGCTTCCGTGATCCCATCCCGTCACATCACATCCCATCCCATCCCATCCCATCCCATCCTAATCTGGCCCCTTATCGACTTTGCCGGTGTCTGGCACCCCCCCCCCCCCCCCCCCCCCCC